ATCTGTATCAGACTCTTGTCCTAGATGAGGGGCTGAGAAAGATTTCAGTGGGCGACCCACACAAAAAAAATAAAAACAAAAAAAAAAACGACATCAGGGCCCCCTCAAATATCCACAGCAGACTTTATCCCAGCAGTCTCGCTCACAGCTGCGTCATTCTGCTTGTAAACATAACAGCTGGGGATTCTATTCATCTATATCTATCCTTCAGATTCAGAATACTTTATTAATCCCAAAGGAAAATGATCCTAGATAAGGGTCTGATATAAAATTTAGTGGGAGACCAGCACAAAAAATAAATGTGAGAGCCCCTCAAAACTGCACACCAGACCCTTATCCAAGCATGCAGCCTGGCAGGTCAGGAAAGGAAGGACAGGAGCATGCTCCTCGGAACCGCACCGAGTTATATGTCCTCAATAGGCATGGCACTGGCTATGCACCTTGTCCCCATATTGATGAGGACAAGGGCCTCTTACCCACAACCCTGGCTCAGTGGCTGTGGGGGGTCTGAAAGCAGGGGGGGGCCTAACAATCTGGAAGCCCCCTTTAAGAAAAAAGGCAGCACTCAAATACTGCCCCCATTGGGTGAACATAGAACTCCTATTCATTGACAATAATGTAAAAGCGTCAATAAAGACAGAGTCAATGTATCAAGAAGGAAGCTCTGCCCACCTCCCAACATAAAATGACAATGTATCAAGATGGAATCTCACCCCACCTCCCAACATACATCTACAATGTATCAAGAGGGAAGATCGATCCACCTCCCAACACTCAATTTACCAAGGAAGAAGCTCTGCCAACCTCCCAACATAAAATGACAATGTATCAAGATGGAATCTCACCCCGCCTCCCAACATACATCTACAATGTATCAAGTGGGAAGATCCATCCACTTCTCAACACTCAATGTATCAAGACAGAAGCTCTGCCCACGTCCCAACAAAAAATGACAATGTATCAAGATGGAATCTCACCCCACCTCCCAACACACATCTACAATGTATCAGGTGGGAAGATCCATCCACCTTACAACACTCAATGTATCAAGGAAGAAGCTCTGTCCACCTCCCAACATAAAATGACAATGTATCAAGGTGGAATCTCAGCCCACTTCCCAACACACATCTACAATGTATAAAGAGGGAAGGTCCATCCACCTCCCAACATACATCTACAATTTATCAAGAGAGAAGATCCATCCACCTCTCAACACTCAATGTATCAAGGAGGAAGCTCCACCCACCACCCACCTCACAACACACAATGACAATGCATTAAAAAGAAAGCTCCACCCTCTCCCAACACTCAATGACAATGTATCACCTTACTCCTGAGAGGTCATAACAATGTATGCAATTGAAAGAACCTTGCCAGACAAGGATTGGCCCTCCCAGTAAAATGATCCTATGGGGAGTTTTTCCAGCATGTTGGCAATTAATCAGGGAGATGATACAGATTTGTCTCATGTTATCTGTCCAGGCTTTCAGCAGAATGAAGACAGCCAGTCAGCTCATTTCTATTTGGAAAATGTGGAAAGAGAAACAATAAATTGAGATCTGTATTGAGGAGGCTGCTGTTGGCTGAGGTCATTCCAAAAAATATCAGGTACCTGGCTGCCTCTGGCCTCAACTCTTTTTTGGGCCTCTGGATAGGAAGAAGCATGCAGCAAGTGAAGTCAGAATGAGTTTTTAGCTCACTTGTTCCTGATCAGTAATTTAGAAAGGAGTTAATTCTGAGACTGCTAGGCAGCGAACATCTTTGGAAGGAAGCCGGCAATTTCAGCCGCTGTTTGTGTCCCAGCAATATTGCTTTTTAAGCATAGGAAATGTAACATTTATTTCTACAAACAATGAAGAGATTTAAAAAAATATTTTGCTACAGATTGCTATAGCAATAATAGGGCTCCTTCACACCAGTGACTAGCTAGTTCACACTAGCAATTCGGGGGGGCGATAAAACCTTGCGGTTTTAGGGTTTGATCACACTAGGAATCTCACAGGAACAGGATGCACATTCCTGTGCAATCACATCCAGTTCAGTGCAGTGCAATTTGATCCCATTCATTTTAAATGGACTCAAATCCTACTGCACCGCACCAGACATAGTGTATGCACTACTTTTGGAAACACGCTGCAACCTGATCACATGGTACTTAACATTGACACCACAACTGCAATGTGTTTTGAATGCGGTGTGGGAAACATGCACAGAACATGGATGTGGGGTTCAAGGGGGTGAGGGGGCAATGCAACTCCCTCTTCACTGCCTGTCAAATGAAGATCTCTTTGTGTGAATGAGCCCTTAAATCTGTTGAGCTCCAATTTAAACAGCTAAATACATAGAATGGGAATGATTTACTTCTATCCAGCCATCGCCGGGATTTGTACACCTCCTTTAGACAACACTGTATCTGTTAACATGAAGGAATACTGTGGTGTTACCTCCCCTGTCTGCAGCCTGCTAACTGGACAATAAGGAAGCAACAACATACTGATAAGTCATCCCTCTGATCTCTCCTCCTGTCAGCACACCAGATGGGCTGCTCACTCTTCCAGCGTGCTGCTAAGAAAGAGATGGCAGGGAGGCTAAAATCAAAACACATTTTGGGTTCATTTAATTATTTTAAAAAGAATACACAACTGCATTTACTTTTGTCTTTATTAACCACTTGCCCTTTAGAGGATTTACCCCCCTTGCTGACCAGGCCATTTTTTGCGATATGGCACTGCGTTACTTTAACTGACAATTGCGCTGTCATGCAACACCGCACCCAAATGCAATTTATGTCCTTTTTTTCCCATAAATAGAGCTTTCTTTTGCTGGTATTTGATCGCCTCTGCATTTTAAATTTTTTGTGCTTTAAACAAAAAAGACAGACAATTTTGAAAAAAAACACAATATTTTTGACATTTTGCTATTAAACATATCCAGTAAAAAACTTTAAAAAATCTAATTTTGTAATAAATTTAGGCCAAAATGTATTCTGAGACATGTCTTTGCTAATAAAAATCCCAATCCATGCAAATTAATTGGTTTATGTGAAAGTTATAGCGTTTACAAATAGCCCTATAGATAATGGGATTTTTTTTTTTTTTTTTTAATACTAGTAATGGCGGCGATCAGAGACTTATAGCGGGACTGCGGCAGTTATTCTGACACTGGGGGGGGGGACTGACTAACTACCACTGACATCTCTAGTGACACTAATACAGTGATCAGTGCTAATAAAAAGCACTGACACTGTACTAATGACACTGGGCAGGAAGGGGTTAACATCTGGGGCAAAGAGTTAACTGTGTGCGTTTTACTGTGTAAGCATGCTGCTTTGTAATGTTCTGCTATGCATAGCAATACAAAGTAGCATTCTGGTGCTGACAGGGGAGAGATCTGTATTGTTTACATACAGACCTCTCCCCTGTCAATGTTCCTCGGTGATCGCCGGATGCCAGCGGAGAATCTCCAGCCGGGACCTGGTGATAAACAGCTGTAGCCTCCAATGGCGGCACAGGTAAGGCAGTGTGTGCGTGTTCCCCCTCTACCTAGGAATGCAAAATCACATATATATATACACATGATTTTGCGCAGCCCCTGCAGCCCTGTAGCAGTAGTTCTGCGGTTAATATCCGTCTAGAGGGCAGCTCCAGTAAACCCATGAAATGTGTAGGGCCCACTTACCCTATTGCAGTGTATTAACATGTGTTATGTTGCACTTTAATGTACTGTGATTTAGGGCATTCCTTTCAAAATGAAATTACACATGACCCTTTTATGTACAGCAATGCACCACAATGCACTAGCATGCGTTGGCCTGTGACGCGCTATAATGTAGGTGTGTTGGGGTACCATTCAAAATCAATTACATCATATCACAGTAACACACGTTATGTGCGTTACCACAATGCAGAAGTGTGAATCCAGCCTTAAATTGGTTGTAAACACTTACATATAACCATGGAAGTGACTAACCTCAGATGATACATAAAGATGAAACAAATCCTCCTATATAAGTTGTACCTGTTCATCTGTAGCTGTCAATTCTATACAGCCCATCATAGTACAGAATTTACACAGCATTTCTCATCTCCAGAAGGCAGAAGGCGGGGATCTGATGTCACACACTGCACAGCACAGCACAAAGAGGAAAGCTGAGTGTAACCTGAGACCTGAGTTGAGGGAAAGGAGGCAAACTCTCCACACAGCCTCATAGGGGAACATGCACAGCTGAGCCTGTCAATTATCTGCTGTGTGTTGGAGGGGGGGGGGGTAGAGCTGCCTCTATGATTGTTTGGTGTCTGCATAGATAGACTGTCAGAAGTGACTCATTCAGATAGCAGAGGAAGGACAGAGGAGACAGAAATAAGTGTTTTGAACAGAGGCAGGTGCACACTATAGAAAGGTATGCTTTGTTCATTTTTCATTTGAGAGGTTTACAGCCACTTTAATGTAGTGGAAGGGACCTAAAAAGTAAAATGCAGACACCAATAGGGCCCGGTGAAGTCCCCAGCTTGGAGCTGTCAAATGCATCCTGAGCGCGGAGATTTAGAATAAAACTGCTACATTGGAGTCAGAAAGTATGTAATATGATATATCCTTCCTCCCCTTTGTCAGAGCAGATTATTTGCCAGACACCAATTTATGACAGCCAGCAGCTGAGCGCACATCTAAAGTCTTACTACTGTTTAGATTTCCCAGATGCAGCCCAGTATGGAGACTCATCTGTATTTGTCCAGGTTTATTAGTGTCAAACTTCTTCCCATCTCTCCATTGTCACAAAACCGGGCAGTCTGAGAATTTTAGACATGTGACAGGTTTGCTTTTTTTAGCTATAGATCAGATTGTGGTCTCATACAATTAAAAATCCTAAAGTGGACCTGTCTGTAGCTTTACAGATTTGAATGAATATACTATATTGCTAAAAGTATTAACACATCCTAACAAATCATTGGATTCAGGTGTTCCAATCACCTCCATGGCCACAGGTGTATAAAATCAAGGACCTAGACATGCAGACTGCTTCTACAAACATTTGTGAAAGAATGGGTCGCTCTCAGGAGCTCAGTGAATTCAATCGTGGTCCCGTGATAGGTTGCCACCTGTGCAATAAGTCCATCCATGAAATTTCCTTGTTATGAAATTTTCCACGATCAACTGTTAGTGGTATTATAACAAAGTGGAAGCAACTGGGAACAACAGAAACTCAGCCACCAAGTGGTAGGCCACGTAAAATGACAGAGGGGGGTCAGCGCATGCTGAAGCACACAGTGTGCAGAAGTCACCAACTGTCTGCAGAGTCAATAGCTAAAGAGCTCCAAACTTCCTGTGGCCTTCAGATTAGCATAAGAACAGTGTGTAGGGAGTTTCATGGAATGGGTTTCCATGGCCGAGCAGCTGCATCCAAGCCTTACATCACCAAGTGCAATGCAAAGTGTTGGATGCAGACCAATCATACTTCTCTGTTTGGCAGTCCGATGGATGTGTCTGGGTTTGGAGGTTGTCAGGAGAATGGTACTTGCCTGACTGCATTGTGCCAAGTGTAAAATTTGGTGGAGGGGGGGGGATTATGGTGTGGGGGGTTGTTTTTTAGGGGTTGGGCTTGGCCCCTTAGTTCCAGTGAAGGGAACTCTTAAGGCGTCAGCATACCAAGACGTTTTGGACAATTTCATGCTCCCAACTTTGTGGGAACAGTTTGGGGATGGCCCCTTCCTGTTCCAACATGATTGAGCACCAGTGCACAAAGCAAGGTCCATAAAGACATGGATGATGAGTGAGTTTGGGGTGGAGGAACTTGACTGGCCTGCACAGAGTCAACCCAATAGAACATCTTTGGGATGAATTAGAGCGGAGACTGCAAGCCAGGCCTTCTCGTCCGACATCAGTGCCTGACCTCACAAATGAGCTTCTGCAAGAATGGTCAAACATTCCCATAGACACACTCCTAAACCTTGTGGACAGCCTTCCCTGAAGAGTTGAAGCTGTTATAGCTGCAAAGGGCGGGCCAACTCAATATTGAACCCTACGGACTAAGACTGGGATGCCATCAAAGTTCATGTGTGTGTAAAGGCAGGCGTCCCAATACCTTTGGCAATACAGTGCACATTTCACAGCAAAACATGAGTGTAAAATCGCTCTTGGCTTGGGGCCAAAATTTGGTCCCTGAGCCTCTTTGGAGCAACAACTATGCACAGAGAAGTCAGGGTAGGGCTAAGTCTGTCAGTTATTTTGTTACCCTTGGCTTTAAGCCCCGGTGCACACTCCTTCGACTTTGCATACAGTCCCATGACAAATGAAAACCCATTTATTTCAAGTGCAACCGCTCCAATCAATGCAACTCAAATCACAATGGCTTTTCAAAACATTCCTGCACTACTTTGATGCGACTTGAGTACCATAGACTCCTCAAGTGGCATGAAAGTCCCAAGCAAGTTGCACTGGAAATTGCATGACAATGGAGTTGCAGCAGTGCGAAAAGAGTCTAAACTCAAAATAAAATAATTATTACGTTGCACCTTACCAATTCTTAGATCATATGTGGTGGTTCCATTCATTTTATTTTGTAGGCTTTCTTTCCTTTATTTTCACCTGGTAATCCTGCTAGTAGGTCTGTTTTTTTCAACAGAACACGCTGTCCTGCGATTGTAACAGTAAGCAAGTAGAAACAAACCATTTACCATTAACAGGGGTGCTTACAATAATCAGCTTTTATTTATTTGAGTAAAACCTTTATCTCAAAAGGACAAAAAACAGTTTGCTTTAACTGCTTATAAAGTGCTAGCTGGAGTTAGGTTTCAGTTTGTTAGTGTATCTATATCTGCTAGTACATCTAACAGCCCCCCTCCCAGACTGACAATGCTGATGTCCAAATCTGCCTCCTGTGCTCCTTCATCCTGAGCAGAGGCGCTCTAATTCTTGAGGTGTGCTACTGGCCAGATCACCAGGTGAAAACCGAGGGGAAAAAGCATCAAAAAAAGAAAACTAATGCAGCCACCACATCTAATGATATGTAAGCTTTTTGGTTTGGGGTGTAATACTGCTTTAACATGAACAAACTGTGATTACAGGTCCACTTTCAAATGGATGGACACAGGGAAAAAGTAAAAGGGCCATAAAAAGCCAATTTGAATCCTTTGGGTTGATGCTTCTGGCGCATTAGAGGTGTGTGGAGGACCGTGCAGGTGTAGCGAAGTTGTAAATCAGCGTGTGACATTCAAGCAGATTATCTGGATGGATATGACAGTAAAAACGTTGGTGGAGAAGCGGCAATGCGGGCAGGAGGGGTCTGCGCAGTCGTCTTCTCATACGGCTCTGCAGGTCAGCAAAAGTTTGGAGAGAGCCACTCGCTGGGTCTTTATAGTTCTGGGCAGAGACGCTCGGCTTGGCAGGAGAGCGCTGCGTCTTTCATTAAATCTGCCATCTGAGCCCCGTACCTCGCGGTCCTGATGGATGAGTGTTGTGTGCGCGCTGTGTGCGTTCCGGGGCATTGCACTGACTCTCTGCTAACGCTGTATAAACAGGCAGAAGTGTGCCGCAATGTATCACTGATAGAACCAATGAATCTAAGATTGAATTCCCGGCCCGGTGTCACTCCGCAGCATTGACCTGTGCAAGACTGAAATCACAGCCGCGGCTGCAGGATGAAACGTCTGATCGATGGCTTCAGCTGGAAAAAACGCCACTTACACACCCCAGAAAACTGAATCTAAAGGTCGGCCAAATGACTGCGTTTTATCGTACTGCCGGATTCCGCAGCCTCCTTCTCCAGTTTATAACAAGTTTAACGTGGAAAGTTTAGATGTCAGAGTGCCTTTCCTGGAAATAAGTGACTGCATCAGGATAAGGGGGTCATCTTCATCTCTGGGGAGAATGAGTGGAAGGGAAAAATGGAGAGAATTGAGAATTTCCAATGAGAAAAGGTATATACTATAGGAAAGCCTACTTAGAATTAAAGGTATTCACATCTCATTTAACCACATGCAGTTGTGCTCAAAAGTTTGCCTGTTACCCTGGCAGAAATTGTGAAATGTTGGCATTCATATTGAAAATATGACTGATCATGCCAAAAACCTGACTTTTATTTAAGGATAGTGGTCATATGAAGCCATTTATTATCAAATAGTTGTTTGGCTCCTTTTTAAATCATAATGATAATAGAAATCACCCAAATGATCCTGATCAACAGTTTCTACATCCTGGAATGTTTGGCCTTGGTGACACACACAGATTAAAATGGCAATTAAAGGTTAATTTCCCACATCTGTGGCTTTTTAAATTGCAATTAGTGTCTGTATATAAACAATTAATGAATTTGTTAGCTTTTATATGGATACACCGAGCAGGCTAGATACTGTGCCATGTGGAGCAGAAAATAACTGTCAAAAGACCTGCGTAACACGGTAATGGAACTTTATAAAGATGGAAAAGGATATAAAAACATGTCCAAAGTCTTCAATATGCCAGTTAGTACTATTCAATCACGTGGAAAATTCGGATATTTCTTAATACCAAGCCAAGGTCTGATAGACCACGAAAGATTACAGTCACAACTGCCAGAAGAATTGTTTGGAATACAAAGAAAACCCCACAGGTAACCTCAGAAGAAATACAGGCTGCTCTCGAAAAAGACAGTGTGGTTGTTTCAAGGAGCACAATACAAACATACTTGAACAAAAATGAGCAGGTTAGAAAATTTGAAGGAGCAAGATGGAAAATTTTGGACATTTGTCAAGTCATCAAATGGACTGATAATTTTGTACAAATGTTCCTTCAAACATTTACTGCTTGTAACAGTGCTAGGCCCTGCCACAGGTTCTTAAAGATACAAAGGGTTCTTAAAAATACAGCTTGATGGGCTCCAGAGTGTTGTATTTGAGTGCAGAAGATTGGGTTTTCATTTTTTGGGGGGTTTTGTAATCCTGGATTAAGGTCTGGAACCTGGAGGCTTCAAAGAGTTTTGAGTGGGAAGAAGCCTCCAATCCCCAGTCTAGGTCTTACTGGAGACCTGCAGGCTGTGTGAGTATACAGGTATGCACACTTGTGATAAGAGAGGCCTGGCCATAACTCAAGGCTTCCTCTAGTATGGGCTCCATCCAAGAGACAGGTGTGGGCTCCATTCAGCAGACAGGTGTGGGCTCCATCCAGCAGACAGGTGTGGGCTCCATCCAGCAGACAGGTGTGGGCTCCATCCAGCAGACAGGTGTGGGCTCCATACAGCAGACAGGTGTGGACTCCATAGAGCAGACAGGTGAGGGCTCTGTCCAGCAGACAGGTGTGGGATCTGTCCAGCAGACAGGTGTGGGATCTGTCCAAGAGACAGGTGTGGGCTCCATCCAAGAGACAGGTGTGGGATCCATCCAGGAGACAGGTGTGGGCTTCATCCAGGATACAGGTGTGGGCTCCATCCAGGATACAGGTGTGGGATCCATCCAGGAGATAAGTGTGGGATCCACACAGCAGGCAGGTGTGGACTCCATCCAAGAGACAGGTGTGGGCTCCATCCAAGAGACAGGTGTGGGATCCATCTAGGAGACAGGTGTGGGCTTCATCCAGGATACAGGTGTGGGATCCATCCAGGAGATAAGTGTGGGATCCACACAACAGGCAGGTGTGGACTCCATCCAAGAGACAGGTGTGGGATCCATCCAGGAGATAAGTGTGGGATCCACCCAGCAGGCAGGTGTGGACTCCATCCAGCAGACAGGTGTGGGATCCATCCAGGAGACAGGCGCACTCCTGTCAGGGAACAGGTGTGGACTCCTGTTAGGAGAAGTGCCTCACTCAAGTGACAACACTGACAGTGACAACAGTGCTGGAGGAGAAATTCCTTATCCATACAATATGATTAGGAGAGTTGATACAGCTAAGAGTCTGGAGGACAGGGATAGCTGAGATGACTATGAGAGTCCTGGGGACCAAGAGAATCTGGAGAGTGAGAAAGCCTGGGGTGCCAGGAGATCCTGTATTGAGAGACCAGGGGACGAGGCTGTGCACTAGGGTGCTGTAACTACAGGCTCAGTGAGCCAGGAGAGCCCAATGCCAGGGACCAGTGAAAAGAGCAGTGGTGTTGCTGAGGAGGAAGCCAGGTGGCTTGGCCATCACTTGTTTTGATGATGGAAACCCCTCCCGTGGACAAGTTTCCTGTTGAAAGTTTACTTTCATTTTTAACCAAAGTGGGTCAACAAGCCATAAAACAAAGTAAGGAGTGGCAGAATAAAATTGCTACTACTCCTGAGCTAATCTCCCAAGATCACATACTACATGGCCAGCTTTAGACTGTCAGTGCTGGCTGGAAGTTGGATTCCTCACTCCAGTTCTCTGCTTCCTCCCTCTTGCCATTACCCAGTACATTATTACATATGCTTCCTTTGACAGCCTGATAAAAATTGCAGCTGGTGTGAAGTAGAAGATTGGTCAGAGAATACAGCGAATGCTTTTTGGCAACTGCAACTAATCTGATGTATGAAAGGACAGCGGGTATTTTCAGTGTTTGTATTAAATAGTGATGATTCCTCCAATGACTACCCTCAGTGATTATTTTCTACTT